TAGTAACAAACCCAGTAATGTTAATAAACCTAGTGAATCAACAAACCCACTAATAGTAACAAACCCAGTAATGTTAATAAACCTAGTGAATCAACAAACCCACTACTAGTAATAAACCCAGTAATGTTAATAAACCCAGTAATGTTAATAAACCATATATAGGTGTCAACCAAAGGAAGCCCTCCAGCAAGAATTTCCCCACTCAAGAGAACTCTCAGGGGTTTGGGAGGGAAGGAAATATGCGGGGGGAAATTGTAGCGTTTTCCATTTTCCAGTTGTATCTTTATCTCAGATATAAACACTATTATCATAATAGCAAACATCCTAATGTTTCCAGTAAAATGTACAATGATAATTGTAGTTTTTAATAACATCAACACGATAACTGAAAATGTTTGTTTGGTACACTTTTTCAAAATATTATTTTCAATCAAAATTTTCTTTTCTTTTAAATCTGACTTCAAGAAATTAAGCAATTTCTAAAACAAATTATGATTTTTTTCTTTGATTGACAAATATTAAAGACGACTATTTTGTTATTGTTCACTTATACTTATGAACACATTTATGGAATAGTTAAGTATTTTTTAAATTAAATAAAAATGTATCCAGACATTCCAGAAAGACTGAAAAAGGCCTAGTCCCAAACAAGGTGGACTATCATCGAGTAAATAAAGCTGTAATGACTTTTGTAAGGTAAATAATTACACTTACTATCATCAGTGTGACCAGTACAGTTATTACGTTTTTAACTCATGCACCCCTGAAGACACAATTGCACTCTTACAATTCAAAGGTTGAAATAGTTCATAATGAAATTTCAGTGGTGAATGAGTTAAATATAAAAAAATACTTCCAAAATCATAAAAAAAATTTGTTCATTTCATTGGGCTCCATTTGTATGAAAACAGGATATTTTGGCTTCTCTGGAGGATATTTGTCAGCAACAGAAAAAGGATGAGATGAAGAAATGAAAACAAGATGGTTGACACCTATGTAACCATAGTGATATTAACAAACACACAACACCAGCTGTCCATACACCAGCACACACCATTATAGGATTCAAACATCTCTCTGACTGTGACTCTCAAGACCCTAGTACCAGGTAAACTGTGTTAGTCGTGCAGGTGGTGATATTTTGAACTTGAGTTTGAATCTGCTATCTGGATATATCATCTATACTATCTGTTACCTGGCCCTATTTTTCTATTCTATTGATTAAATGAATTTCAAAAGTAAGAAATTTATCTAAAAGTGAAATTATTCAAAGTATCAAATCTTAAAAGTGATGAATATAAATGACTACCCTATTTACAAGTGTTAAATGAACCCCAGATCAAGAGATGACAGAGTTCACCACAACTAGTAAGGGTTCAGAGGGTAAGTAATGAAGAAATAATGTACAAACATTCAAAGTTGTATACAAAAGATTTTGCGTGTAAAAAAAAAATCAAAAAAATCACACAATTTATAACAATCAAAATTTTGAGCAAATTTGAATAAATATTTCCAGGAATTCGAAACTGTTATGCTTATTTTGAGATATTTGGATATCTTATACAAAATAAACATTCTTTCCCTGACAAACTTATAAAGAGGTTATAGCGTAAGGGAATTCAGATCTCTTTTTTTCTTCTCTTTTCTAATGTGTTTATGATCAGTGACTTTTGATACTCTTTGAAATATGTTAATATATAAATTCTATATAATGTCTCTAACGAAGCTCTATAGAGGTGAAACAGTGCTTGAATCTCTTAGTTTTTGTATTCTTTTTACGTAAATCATATACATATTGTTGTGAACAAGTTTGAATGTTGTAAATATGGAAGTTATATATAATATCATGTCAACATTTCTAGAAGCAAAACTCTCAAGCAAAGAGGAAAGAATTGATTAATTTGAGGACGTAAACTCCAATGCATTCTATAGTCGAGTAAACTTGTTATACAGAGTACTCCATGAAGCTGGTGAGATCACTTACGACGCTTTCAGACTGAAACGTGATTTATGACACCATGAACATTGCGTAGATAAAGTTACAGTATATGTCAGTAGCCACTAAGTACAGTAAGTATACAATCAAAGTCAAAGTAGAAATGTCAGTAGCCACTAAGTACAGAAAGTATACAATCGAAGTCAAAGTAGAAATGTCAGTAGCCACTAAGTACAGTAAGTATACAATCGAAGTCAAAGAAGAAACAATGACATGACATTGTTTCAGTGTAGCAATTGGTTTTATCAGTCAACATTTTCAATACCAAGTTATAACAAAGTTATATTTCAATGAAAATTCAAATGTCAAGACACCTCCCTCAGTTTTCAAAATTAATCTTGAATAACAATATGTTTAGTTATTTTATCAACAATAGTTAAGGGTCTGACTATTCATGTCCAGAAAACAAGACTTTTAGATTTACACAGCACAGTAGGCAGTTTGCTGTGATTAAAGTTCACCATTTAATTCCTCTGTAATGAGGGCAAATTCCTTATGACAGCAATAAAAAGTACAAAAGTTACTATATATAGCATTCCCAAGGTGAAAGGTGATTTTTTTCTAATATATATACAGTCAGAGAAGCCCCGTATTGTTTACAAGTGTATGACCTCTACGAAGTCTCCACAAAGTCTCTACCTGGTGTACATTACAGACATCTATAACATATATTTTCCTGCCTACATTGAAAAAATGTCCAAGTCATTGAGCATTGTAATTGTAGTAGATTACATTATACAATAGTAACAAAAAACCGAAATCATTTGTTAAAACTAAAATTAAACACAATGAAAGAGAGAGAATTTGATTATTGGTAGCAGATGAAGTAAAAAATCTGTAAAAATAATACAAGTTGATAGGACTCTGAAATATCAATGTTCTAGCCATCATATGTTTGAGAATTCAATCAGGAAAAAATAAATTGATCTCAAGACTTAATGAAGTCTATTATACTGTAACACATGTTCTCAGAATGTTTGTGCGAAATGACGCGTAATTTTATGATTTGGTCAGCCCTGTGTCACTGACCTTGTCCATTTTACTGGTAGGTCGGACAGCCTTCATCAGTGCGGAGGTCTTTCTGATGTCGGGGTGGTACGCCTTGGTACCTATATGAATCTCTCCACTGTCCTTGTTCCTGGCTACCATACTGGGAAAGAAAACCTCGGGAACAGTGGCTGAAAATTCAACAAAACGCATGAAATTCTATTTATAGTAAGTGATCTCACAGTTATAGAAAGGAAAATATCATTCAAGTCATATTTATGCAGAGCTTAGGACAGAAGACATCATGTTTTGTCATTTGGCTAGTAAGTGAACAAAATTTTAAATTATCTCCCTTTGACTGCATGAAATAATCTGCCCTTCTAAGATCTTTGGTGTCATATTTTTCTAAAATAAAATTTCTCCCCGCATGAAATTGCAACCTTTTCTTAAAGGAATTAAATTGCAAATACTCCCCATTCTCATTACAATATTGCAAACATGGAAATCAATATATATATATATATATACAGGTAATTTAGTCAAATAAAACACGGTGAATGTTTCTGTGTGATTTCTCACACGAATATAATATGTTACATCCAATATTATGTAACAGTCACTGAACCCAGGAAATAACAACAAGAAATGTGTTCAATGTGGGTGAATTACTTATTGAAATTAATACCCAGAGAAATAATCTATATTAACAGGAATATGTCTGTGTCTTCGTACTGATATGTAAGGTTACTATAAGTTGTTGCCTTACCCTCCCTTCGTACTGATATGTAAGTTTACTATGAGTAGTTGCCTTACCCTCCTGGCCCAGGATACCAGCCCTGATGCTACAACTGCCAATATCTATCAGTACCACCTTCTGAAATACACAACAAAATACAATAAATACAACGGTCTTTCTCATCATCTCATCTTTAACTCATTTTATCAAATGTTTATGATTCAATATTTCACAAATGAGGAGCAAACAAAGGTTTGATTTCCCATTCTTTGTCCTACTCCTCTGTAAAATGTAGATCTCATATTTTTATTGTTCTGGCTATATGTACATCAAAACATAAACCACATCAGGTTCTTACATCAGTATGTATCTCTGATCAGAACTACAAATGATCCTGTCGAGACAATACTGGCACCGATTCGGGAAATTTTCCTGTAAAATCTTGATAATATCGGCCTCATGAAAATAACCTGCTCTAAAATATCCAGTTTTTACAGTAACAGCATTTACAATAATATTCATTACCAATTTAAAAAAAAGATTGTGACTCTCTCCTAGCTTTGCAATAAATCATTCCAATTTAGCAGAAAAACAGGCCCTTTTTTATTTTTGCAAAATAATCTTACAATCTGATTTTGAAATTTGTAGGAGTAAAGCCTGTTGGACCTGAAAGGTTAATGCTGACCTTGAAGGTACTTGCCAAACACCACAGGCCATATTGTCTCTCCCCTTTTCATAAACAATTTTTCCTCACCAAAAAACCAATTTGGGAATGTCATACATGGAAGTGGCTCTGGACATTGTGTCGGGACAACTTTTTTTGTTTCGTAAAATTGTTAGTAAATCAGTAAATCACTCTTCTGAGGTTTGTCAGGTTTTAGCAAACATACTCCTATGTTTAGTAGATCCTTGCTGGACTTACCCGTCTTGGGTTTGGCGGAGATTTTAGGACTGGGCGTACATAGGTGGCCCCGACATTGTCGACGGTCTGAGACTCCAGTGCCAGTTTCCATTGGCCGTACTCCGTGTCTGTAGGACAGCGAACCATCAGGTATCTTCCCCTCTACACAACAGTGTTAACGCGTCATACAATATAGACTTTGGGAATAGTCTCAGTCAATAGCACTTTTTCAGGTTCATATCACATCATATATTCACCAACATTAACAACCTCAAGAAAAGTAATTTAATTTATTCCATAATATTGTACACTGTACATATCATTATTTTACTGCAATTTAATATTCACTAATGATGAAGGTTGGTGCAGGAGAGGTCAGTGCCAGTAATGCAGAGGTCAGTACCACGGATATCAATACCAAAGAGGTCAGAAATGGAGAGGTCAAACGTCAGATCAAGACAGTAATGAAAAGGTCAGGCTCAATGCTGGAGATGTTAATACTGGAGAGGTCAGGGACAATAGAAACGTTAGCTTTCATCTTGTGACTGATAAAACAGTATCACAGGGTTATACATTTCTGTTCCTTACCCCGTCATCAATCCCCAGAATCCTGTTGCCAAGGTCATCTACACGACCTCCCATCAGCTGGACACTGTCACTCGGCCGGTCACGGTTGTTGGTCTGTAATCAATCGTAAATAATATGTATACAAATATAATTTCATTATCAAGTAAGCACAAGTTGTTTGTAATCTAGTTCTGCTTTGGACCGATACATTGTCACTCGGGCCCTACACATTTACTGTAGACATGTGTGCATAATAGTATTTTATTTTTCCAGGATATTTCATGGTTTCTCACTGAATATCATATATATATAATTTTTCACAAGTTTCGTAGAGTATACCAATATTTTCATTAATGCTTTGTACTCATGAAAAGATCAGCATTCTGCCATATTCATGAGATATATAGGAATTCAATGGAAGACCATTTAATTTTCTATTCCTTACATTTCCGAAGTCCATGTACCTACAATGTGGTAAATGATTCTGCATTACAACAGTGCAGGAATCAGTACTGTATGTTACCTATGGCACCATACTCTAATGTCGTCGTGCTTGAAAACGTTTGTGCAAATATGTCATTGCTGCTATTAGGTATATCTGGTAAGATTTGCTAGCAAAATATTAGCAATGGTGTAGTTAAGTAAATGTCTTTGTGTATGTAGCAAAGATGTACAAAACACCTTAATCTACTGACGCCTCACCTACATCTGAACAGAATGCGGTGAATAGAAAGTAGAAATCTGATTGGCTAATAATAAGGTGATATTTTCACACTGTAACAAATACCAGGTATTACTTTTAAATATCTGTTACATTGTGAAGAAATCAGTTTAATCAAGTATTCAATATCTTATCAGAAAAAACAAATAGTAAACATTTATCTATACAAAAACCATACATATGAAATATCAACATTTGTAAATACAAGTAAATCATGTACCTAAAATATAAAGTTCAAATAAGATAAATCACAGTAAATCATACTCTGATACTACAGAACACGACAGATTCAAAATGGTACCAGTGAAGTGGTATACAATACCTCAAAGTAATGGAGCCAGCCATCCTTGGCTCTGAAGAACCTGCGCTTCCATGTCTTCAGGAGTGTGGCCTTCTTCTTATTCATCGGTAACTTCTCCATGAGTCCTTCCATCCCAACAAACTTGTCCGACACATCTTCTACCTCCTGTTATATATCATATCAAACCAAACATGGATTTAAACACAAGAAATGATCTCTTACATAAACATCCCCCAACAGGGTCATTTATATATGTAAGGTATAAAAGTCAGCACTATACTGAGTATATAATGTCAGTGACGAAATTATTTAGCATTTGATATTGAGGTTTTTATTTTATTGTTAAACCAATTTTTATGATGTATTTCCTGAGAAATCCTGCCTTTCTTTACTGAACAAGACCTTTATCCAAACAAACAAGTTCTCATTTGACATTAATTTCTCCAATACTCTATACCGACAAAAATCTGTTCACCCAGTAAAACTTTTGCCGCCCTTCACTGATAAATTCTGTATTTGCCCGGCAGCATTTTCTCCTCACAATGAATATATACATGTTTGTTGTATGGTATGTTGTGAATGTATCTTCACTCCCACGATTAAGCCATCGTCATGGAGAAGCAATAGGCTGAAGTAAGCGGGGGGGGGGGGGGGGGGAAATAAACAACATTATCCTGTCTGATCTGCTTCCTGACAATCCATATCCTCCACTGCGTCCAGACCATTGATCTTGACCATCAGCAGAGAAAAAGGCATAGCCAAAGTAGCTACTTCAAGATATTTCTCTTGAATGAGGTCCAACAAGCGAGGCTCAAGACCAACACACCTAACGGCCAAGGCCCACTGCTAAGACATGGAGATAGAAGGGACTGCATAACTCTGGCCGATCCCAGCAGGACAGATACCAGACCAACCTCACTGCCAGAAACTGGGACCCAAACCTAGACAAATGTATACCTGGTATATGTGTACTTACCTCCTTAGCCAGTTTGACTGTATATAGATCACATAATAGCTTGGTCTGAAATAAAACAAAATATACACATTTTAAAGGTAAGATAGATGATATATCAAGTCATTCAGCAATTATTATTTTTTAACTATTTTACCTCATTAAAGTGTGACATAAATGAGTAGAGAGCTGTTGAAGTCTACACTGCATCCTATCATTTTGATGGGAGGACTACATGATGTTATGATAATCAAGCTATTGTGCCCAAACATTTTTATAAACGGATGTTCCGGTTTACATCTCTAATCTAACACAAAACTTACTGGGTTCCAGTCCCGCAGGTTGATCCTTGTTGGGAGGACTTCATCATCCTCATCCTCATCTATAGCCAACCCTCTATTCTCCTCATCACTGATGTGCATTTCATATCTAGCATCCACTGTGGAGGATAAAAATCAGTCTTACTACGAGGAAAAAAGGTAATTAAAAGTCCTAGTCAGTCTTTCTGGGTTAAGATGATTTGGTACAGAGATGTTTTAGTACTTGTTTAAAATCTTTTGGTACTTCCTTTATAAAACTTTTCGGCACTTGGACTAACATTTCAACTTCGTTTGTGTTTTGTATTACATGTACTGCTCATTTTGTATTTGAAGATTCCTCAGCATTTTTACTTTTGAAGCAAGTTATATATAATTGTCTGTTAGAAACATTCACATTGACTTAGTACTATATCTAACATTTAACCCTAGTGAGCTCCAGAAATAACCAAGGTTACAGGTTTGACAGAATTTAGAGGCCATCTACCAAAACACACACTTGCCAAATATCACATTTCTGATTCTGTCAAGGTTAAAAATACGTCATTTGAGGTTTTCAACATTTTTGACCCTAATTACTATGAAAGGTGTCAAGGTCACTAGCTTGAACAAACCTGGCAGTCCTTTACTAAAGCAAGCTACAGGTTAAATATTAATGGTTCTATAGGAGAAACCATTTAAAGGAAATGTTGAAGATGGTGCTGCACAAAAGGTCACAGGTAATTTGTGACAGGTGAGTTAAAAAATATAAGCACCATCGTTAGCATAATCATAATTTAATATTTTAAATTCTCATCACATCAGTAACAGTGTAGATATCTACATATCTACATGAGGTTTCCTAATGTATTCCCACCATTGTGTCGGGGCTGTCCCACTCTGTAAGTAAATGTGTTGAATCACCAATAAATTGTAACAAACGTAATCCACAAGGTAATTGTAATTGACAGACGCTGCACTGCCTGCACCAAGTACTTACCTGGGACTTCATCAAATAGTGTCATGTTCCTGGAGGAGTCGGAGGCCACAGTTATTTATCTTCTCCGAGGAGTTGGAGTCGATGGCGTTTTTCTCCGAGGAGTTACTGGGACCATGCATTGTTAATAGACCTACCTTCAGAAGACGCTGACAGATTTCATAGTCCAATGATTACATTATAAAGGCTCTACTGTACGGGTGTACTGATAAAGGTGATGCGTATAGAAATTTTCAGATATTCATTTAAACAGGTTACCTGGGTACTTAATGAACACATTTATTGTTAATTCGTATAACAATCCTATTTGTTGGCTTCAGTAAGTCTCCCGAGTAGTAATCTCTACTTAGCCTTTTCTTTCCTATAGCAGACTAGGATTTCTTTAGTTTCTGGTAATATATTATTTTAATGTAACTATACAATAAGATTTAAAGACAACATAGATATCTATCTCCTGAGTTTATGGTATTCTTTATACAATCAATAATTTTTACTAGAGACTAGAAGGCCACCAGTGACCATGGATCTCCAAAGAATTTTATCTGTAAAGAATTGACCTGCTGTATACCACGGCATGATAGTATGTGTGAACCCCTAACAGAAAAGTGGATTTTAGCCTGCTGTATCCCACTGCATGAAAGTTTAAGGCAACAATGTGTACAGTAAAGAGGATTTCTTAGGTGCTCTATGAATTTGAGTGACAAACATTGATGTGTTACTCTGTAGCACTATTAACCACTAACTTTTTTCAAATCTTCTGTAGCACTATTAACCACTAACTTTTTTCAAATCTTACGAATCACTGATTGTCACAAAAATGTAAGTGGTTTGGATATCATGCTATATATGTATCGTGTCCATGTTACTAATGTTTGATGTGATAGCACCTGAGTGATCCCAACATCAGTAAACATTGTCTTCTTCATGTGAAGTTAGCTGTCACTTAGAAATACAAGAGGCTCAAAGGGCCTGAAGATGCTCATGATTTATAAATGGCCTGCCTTTTTATGAAATTTCTGGCACTACATTTCAACAAGCTATAGGCCAAATTTCAAAGACTTATATTATGACCTCTTGATTCTTTAAAAGTTTCATTTAAAAACAAAACAATAATTGACCCCGGTCACATTGAATATGGATAAAACATAAGTAAAGGTAGTGTCTCTCAACAAACTGTGTAGCACTATGTGACAGCAATATACTGGCCACATGACCTTTTGGTTCTTTGAAAAATATCAGCACATCTCAACACTTTAATTTGACCTTTGACCTAAACACAATTTGTTAATATTTATACTGCTGGTCTATAACATATCCAAGTAACATGGCTCTAAACCTTATGGCTCTCCAGGAAATGTTGATTGATTTATTTTGATATTTTTGACCTTGAAAGTAAGTCAAGGTCATTTATATGAACTGTTCTTTGCTGTACTAAGGTAACATTTTCCCTCTATATCTGTACCCAAGCCTAAATATTCAGCCAATACTGGGTGCCTGCTGTCCTCGGTCACACTCCAGGTGTGAAGCACGATATAACTTCTGTTCTGGGCTAGTGAACCAGTGTCGAGAAGATAAACTTTTTTACTTACTGTCAAAACTCTTCATTCATATACAAAATGTACAGAAAATGGCTTGTGTATAATATATTTTACTGTGTACGGTGGTCACAGATCAGTGGTCTTGTGGTATCCCATATTATCACCATGAAAAGTGTGGATTCATCCAGCCATTCATGTGATAAACCTATAGGTAGTTGATCAACTTAGAATGTCTCAACTTCTAGGTTGTAATGGAGGTCCCTAAATCTTACATCAGTACAAGTTTTTATATTACCTAAATACCTGTAATGTACCTATACAACCTAGCTACCTGTAATGTACCTGTACAACCTAGCTACCTGTAATATATCTGTACAACCTAGGTACCTGTAATATACCTGTACAACCTAGGTACCTGTAACGTACCTATACAACCTCGGTACCTGTAATGTACCTGTACAACATAGCTACCTGTAATATACCTGTACAAACCAGCTACCTGTAATGTATCTGTATAACATATCTACCTGTAATTATTGTACATAACTACCTGTACATGCTGTTCAAAGCTACCTATAATATACCTGTACAACCTAGCTACCTGTACAACCTAGCTACCTGTAATGTACCTATAACATAGATACCTGGAATGTACCTGTAAAACCTAGCTACCTGTAATGTATCTGTACAACCTAGATACCTGTAATGTACCTGTACAACCTAGGTACCTGTAATATACCTGTACAACCTAGCTACCTGTAATATACCTGTACAACCTAGCTACCTGTAATATACCTATACAACCTAGGTAATATGTAATGTACCTGTTCAACCTAGCTACCTGTAATGTACCTGTAATTGTTGTACCTAGCTACCTGTTGTGTACCTGTACTTGTAGTACCTTGCTATCTATAATGTACCTGCACTTGGAGTTCCTAGCTACCTGTAATGTACATGTACTTGCAGTACCTTGTTACCTGTAATGTACCTGTACTTGCAGTACCTTGTTACCTATAATGTACCTGTATTGATGTTACTTAGCTACCTGTAATATACCTGTACTTATTGTACCTAGCTACCAGTAATGTACCTGTATCAATTTTACCTAGCTACCTATAATGCACCTGTATCAATTTTACCTAGCTACCTGTAATGCACCTGTATCAATTTTACCTAGGTACCAGTAATGTACCTGTATCAACTTTACCTAGCTACCTGTAATGTAACTGTATAATTTATCCCTTGCTACCAGTAATGTACCTGTATAATTATATCTAGCTACCAGTAATGTAACTGTATAATTATACTTAGCTACCAGTAATGTAACTGTATAATTATACCTAGCTACCTGGAATGTAACTGTATAATTATACCTAGCTACCTGTAATGTAACTGTATAACTATACCTAGCTACCTGTAATGTAACTGTATAACTATACCTAGCTACCTGTAATGTACCTGTATAATTATACTTAGCTACCAGTAATGTAACTGTATAATTATACTTAGCTACCAGTAATGTAACTGTATAATTATACCTAGCTCCCTGTAATGCACCTGTATCAATTTTACCTAGCCACCTGTAATGCACCTGTATCAATTTTACCGAGCTACCAGTAATGTACCTGTATCAACTTTACCTAGCTACCTGTAATGTAACTGTATAATTATACCTAGCTACCATGAAATACCTGTACTTGCAGTTTTTTGCTACCTATAATGTACATGTTGTACCTAGCTACCTGTAGTATACCTGTACTTTTTGTGCCAATTATAAACTCTAATGCAATATAGAGTATCATCACAATGAACAATACCGTCATACCGTAGTACACTGAATCACAATGAACAATACCGTCCTACTGTGGTACTAGATAAATTCTTATCAGTGATTACATTTAAATATAAAATATAAACTTATACAACAGTTATGAAACAAGTTTTTAACTCATATTAATCAATCTTTTGGGTCTTGATTGAAACACAGAGAGGGTCCTAATATGGGAGGAAACCGGAGTACCTGGAGAAAACCCATGTGGTTGGACAGGTGACCAAGTACCTTTACACTGTGGTGAAAGACGAGTGCTTTATGCACTGCACCACCCAACCACCCATTTCTTTATAGCTCAAAGACAGACTAGATGTTTTTACAAGTGCATAAAGATTTTTCACCTTTATGTTTGATTCAAGTTCAAAGGAGCGGGTGTAACAGATCCCAGCCATCAACTTATACAGATCCCGGCCATCAACTTATACAGATCCCAGCCATCAACTTATACAGATCCCAGCCATCAACTTATACAGATCCCGGCCATCAACTTATACAGATCCCGGCCATCAACTTATACAGATCCCGGCCATCAACTTATACAGATCCCGGC